GAAATTCAATTATTATATATATATTTTTTGCGTGTTCATTCATATCACAAATTAAATGTGACCGAAAAGAAACTTCTGTGTGAACGGTTTATTACTCCAAAGCAACCGGCATGTACAGAAAAGGATCGCTGTGATCTGACTGTGTACAGAAGTATTAATTTAACCCACTGTCTGTGGATTAATTTGAAACTTATTCATAGCCAATAGTATCGTCACAATATTTTAGCGACTCGAAGGAAGCTAATAAAAACAGAGCACAACTAAAAGCAACAACCTTTTTGTCGAGCATCGACTGTCTGGATGCGCAGTCAGGACTAAGAACGGTGGGATTGTGATGTGATGCGCTTCAGTGACACAGACATCTTTCATCATTTTTTTTTTTTCAGAAATCAAATTTCCAGCCATTGTTTACAGCATCTGGCTTCTTCTGGTGAAGGAATGTGACGCACGTTTCACGTCAGTGATGTAGAAGTCGGATAAAATGTGACATGATCGTTCAAACTGCAGACGCTTTGAAAACAATCACCTACTTACTTGAATTTGTATAACATATGGATGTGGCAGACATTGGATTTTATTTTGAAGTGAAAAGATTGGAATCGGGCCATTCAGGCTGCCGGGAAGTCAGATCATGTTTTGGATCTGCTATTTCCTCTGTTGTAAATGGGTGGTGAAATATTTTATCGATAATTTCCAGTTACCCTGCCATCACCTTTTCATATAGACCTTGTCGTTATTTCTACAAAATGAATTTCTGTACCGTTACTACACTCTTAATAGTTAATAAAAGTTAGACTGTTTACAACTTTAAAACAGGTGCTGAACTTATTCATTTGCAGAAATGCACCAATCAAAATTTTGTGGCTTTTTTGTAACGACTTGACCTGCTGACACCAATGATAGCCATTTGCGAATTGGCATAATATACTGAGACATGCATATATAAGTATTTTATGTATGTGAGAAATCTCTGTAAATCTGAGTTTTATGGTAGTTTGTGTGGATTTCCTTTAGACTCTGAGCTTTTTAAAGGTCTGCCAACATTTCTGAATTCAGCAACTTCCACGAGGTTAAAAGCTCTTTAAAGTCGAGCAGAGCAGCTTTGTCGTACTCTGTTCAGCCTTCCTGTTATTTGAGGAAATGTTTTCACAACCTGAACAAAATACAGACATTTCAAGAAAATACAATTTCATTTTAAATTGATTCTTACAAACTGGCTTTGAGTCTTCTTCACAGTTTACAGTTTTTACACTGAATACTGTGATTACTCCTGACAAATTCAGTCACCTAATTCACAGTAGTGAAATTTTACAGTTCAACCTGTGCAAAAGAAGTTGTTTAAAACCAAGTCCTTGCTCTTCGCTTCGCACAGAGGATCTGAACCCTCCTCTGCTGAGAAACGACTCGTTCCTGGAGACGTGGACTGAAGTTTTACATTTTTTACCTTCCTGGAAATTTCTTGCCCCTGTAAATGACCACTGATGCTAATGCTAGTTCAATATTTGGAAGCATGGCCAACACGAACTCAACGCCGTCATTCACTTCCTGTAAATGTTGCCATTGCTAAGTTAACAGGCAGACTGCAGTTCTCAAGCCGCGCAGAAAATCAATGTTCGCCGATTCCACCGATGAAATTGCGCTCAATGGGAGAAATTCCAAACAGAGCACTGAAGGGAGATGAGAATGAAACAGATTTGCGTTGGAAAGCAATTTCTAGGCTACTTTACAGCCAATCAAACCTGCTGATAAGAAAGAGCTAAACATAACAGACACCATCACTTCTAGATAGACCTTAACTAATCTAAAACACGGTGGTATTTGTGACACATTCATTGGCGTACGCTTAAATAACGTGTAAATATTTGAGTGTAAAACGTGTCTCTCTTCCATATTAAGGGTCGGGCTGGTGCTGACGGCGCTCGTGGAATGCCCGGAGAGCCAGGCTCTAAGGTGAAAACCACTGAACGTGTTAAAGAGGGGGACAAAAATAGGGCAAATGCCGTGTGTCATTCATGAGGATGTGGTTTCATTGTGTGTCACTGTTTTTACTCGCAGGGTGACCGAGGCTTTGATGGACTTCCCGGGCTGCCTGGAGAAAAGGGCCACAGGGTGAGCACAGACTAGATTATTTTGGTATGAAACACGTCTTTTAGCTAATCCTTAGCTTCATGACATAAATACTGTTTTCATGTGCGATAAGTCACGAAAACCGGCATTAAAGGAAAATCTCCTTTCTGCTGATTTGTTTTCTTAGATTACTATAATTTACCAACGAGCTGCGGGGGGCTTTTTAGCGTTTTAGATTTCCAGCATCTTCTCATGATCGTGTTGAGTGAGCTTCTTAAATTTGAATGTGACGAGTGAACAGCTGCTGTGCCAGGAGGGGGGGAGGCATTGAGTGAGAAGCTGATCTCTGTTCCACTCATTGACCCGTATTAATCAGAACGCGTGAAAAGATGAAATCAAAGTGGAGCAAAGAAGCCAAGTCAATAGTTTCAGAGGGTATCAGTCGATCTGCTTATCCCACATCGGCTTTGATTTAATTTATTTCTTACTACAGTTTATTGAATCAGTTTCAAGACCTGCAGATATCATAGTAAAAATAGATATATTATAACAGTTTATTAAAAAGTACAAAGGGAAATGCGTTTTCGAATGTAGACACAAACGGTGTTAGGAAACATTAGATGGACAAAAATGCATGAATAGAAAACCTTCAACAAAATAATGAATGACTGAACAAATATGTAACTCTGTGATCAACAGTTCAATCAGTTTTCATTTGATAAGCACTTTTTATATGGTCACTTTTAACAGAAGGTCTTTTATAGAAGTTAAAAATGTCAAATTCAAAATTGCAATGGAAATTTACAAGTATTACTGCCACGCTAAGAAGTTGGAGAAGTAAAATTATGAGAATAAAATCATGACATTTTGAGAAAAACATTCATATTATCACGAGAACAAAGTTGTATGATAATAAAGTCACGATATCATGATTTTATTTTCATATTTCAACTTAGTTCTCATATTATTTTGACTTTATTCTAGTCTTTTTATGATTATTATTATCTTAAATTACGACAAATTAACACATTTAATCTTTTTTTTTTGTTTTCAGTTCGGTTTGTTAATGAGTAGTCTTGTCGCTGCATCGCGCCACAACCGGCCGTTTCGAGAGCCTTTATGATTTTGATGCTGCCCAAACTGACAATGAGACAAACCCGAATGCCGCAGGGCTCTCCTGCACGAGAGCAACTTTGAGTTTCAGCGAATGTAGAAAGCCGAGCCAACGTTATGGTAATCGGTATATGAAAACTGAACCAGTCTGCCGTGGTTCGCAGGGTGAGCCGGGGCCGATGGGACCAGCAGGAGCCCCAGGAGAGGATGGACAGAGAGTGAGTACGCCGCCTGTGTTGGAACCCTTAACGTTTCCCCCCCACCTCTAATGGAGGCGACAGCTTTGTTTAAATCAGCTGTGCTGCACCCTCAGGCAACACACACACACACACACACACACACACACACACACACACACACACACACACACACACACACACACACACACACACGGAGGACACTATAAATCGAGGAGGAGAGTTTGTGTTTGACCTTTCCACCCCTCCAACTAAATACCCTAAACTGCCACACCGCATCCACCACAAAACTGTCACAGGCTCAGATTAGATCTCCGCCTGATTTAAAGGGAGTGTCACTCCGCGTTATGTAGTAAAATCAGGCTTCAGAATGTAATAAAACTTACTAAAACCGCATTATGTACCAATTGACTTGAATTGTTTTGCCTGGAACGACATACTAGCACCGCAGGTTCTGGTTACGAGTCTGAAAAGGCGACGAAACGACGAAAGTTTGGAATTTATTGACCAAAGTTTCAATTAAAGTGCGTATAAAATCTACAGCATGGTCGTTCTTATTAACAAGCAAACGGTTTGTGATGGTTTATCATATTATAGCGTCATCATTTCTAAAACAAACAAACAAAAAAAGAGCTACCTCCAACTAATAATTTAATTTAATTAAAGCATCAATGTGGCATCAGTACAGCAAGATGCATTAAAGGGTTTGATGACCTTTTCTTTCTCCGATTATTACATAATGCGGTTTTACGATGTTTTGCTCTTTTCAGAAGGTCGATTTTATCACGTTGTTTTACACGCTTTGCAATACTGTCTTCCACTTTATGTAATAATGTTTTTTCATTTTGCGTCAATTGTTACATAATGCACTTTTAACAATGTCTCACAACATTTCGAAGGTTGATTTTATTACATCGCTGCACGTTTCCTGTAATACCTTCCGCCGCTTTACGGATTTTTACAAAATGAGGACGTAGCTCTTTATTAAAAGTGCTAACATAATAAAAAGGCACATCATGTAATGAACAAACACAAGCTGTTTGTGTTCATCCTGATCGTTAAATGTGTTTCATGTTGTAGATTCTATATGCAGGTAAACTGAAACTTTTACCAATAAATGCCAAACTTTTGGACCTTTAGTCACATTTTTGAGACTCAGAAATACCCAGAACCTTCAGTATTAAGCTGCATGTCATTTAAGGTGAAACGCTTCCAGATGCATTTTAGTACAAAATGCGGTTTTAATGAAGTTTCTTTTACATCGCAGGTTGCTAACAGGTTACATATCGTGGTAGGTTACATACCTGCAGCATTTAAAAAAAAAAAATTCATCCTTTTCTTTCCAAAGGGTGAAGACGGAGAGATTGGGCCCAGAGGGTTAGCTGGAGAGAGCGTAAGAGTCGCATCATCCTTACAAAACGTTGGCATGTACTGGATGTAATAATTTTATTCCAACTCTTTGTGTTATTTTTCTTTTTCTTCGGTTGATTTGTAGGGGCCCAGAGGTCTGCTGGGACCTCGCGGTCCTCCAGGACCCCCCGGAGTGCCGGTGCGTACCGTGACTGTCATCGTCTTCCCTCCTCCAATAACCCACTTCCTGTAGTTGATATGACAAATCATTTTCTTATCTCCTCTCCCCAGGGCGTTGCTGGAGTGGACGGGCCACCGGGTCCCAAAGGCAACATGGTACACACACACGCACACAGCCTCCTCTCAGTAAACACACTCAAATGTTCCCTTATCAGCTCCCGGGGCTGCAAACGTCGAAGGGTGCTGGACTTTTGGTTCAGATTGGGCCGTATGTGACCGGGTTTTAAAAATGCCTGCAGGATGCACAGCTGTGGGGTGAAAGGTCAGTCCAGCACCTCGAAGCAGCTCCGAGGCAGAGCAGATGAAATTAGAGGATAAAAATGAACAAAAAGACGCAAATGTGACCTGACTGTGATCAGCACGGCGGCACACGGGAGACAGATTCTGATATTATTTTTATTGTAAAGCAACTTTATGAAGCCATTGAGGGGTGAAAACTGCTACATAAATCTGATGTCTTTTGCATTCATTTAAAAAAATTGGCAAGAAACAGAAATAAATGAATAAATTGTGGCAATTACTGCATTTAATAAGAACTTCCCACCTTATTTATTTTTATATTTTAACAGAAGTTAATATTTGCTCATCTTTTTCAAAAGTATTAACATAACTATTGTTCCTTATTTCCTTATTACGTTTCCTTGTTTATTTAATTGTTTTTTAAAAAACATTTCATATTGTGTATTTATTTGTACTTACCATCACATTTCATTTTGCATTTCTTTCTTTCTAAATTCAGAATTTATTTAATTATTTTTTCTTTGGTTTTTTCTTCCATTTCTTGTTTCTTTTTTGAAATTCTTCCTTTCTTTTTACAAAGCAGAGCTGGACTCGTCCTGGTGCTAATGCAAACACATATCAGGACAATATTCAAACCTGATCAGTTTCAATCTGTTTCTTTAAGGGACCACAAGGGGAACCGGGTCCACCGGGTCAGCAGGGAATCCCTGGAACACAGGTGAACGAATCAAACGCACACCAGAAAACATGCCGTGCAGCTGCACATACAAGACGGCGTTTAAATCAATGTAATTTATTCTAAACACAACAATCTCATTTATATTATATAGCGCTTTAGCATTTACAGTTTTTAAATAAATATGTGTTTTTTTTAAAGTTTAGTTTACCATGTTTATGTTACAATAATTTATCCCTACCCACATATATGGAAGCTAAGTGTTTTTATTCTGGCACTGCAAAAAAACACAAAATCTTACCAAATATGTTGGGTCTACTGGGTGAAAATATTTTAGTGCACTTGAAATTAGTCAAAACTAATGTGAAGGTAGTTTTCCAGCAACATAAATGACCTTGTTTTAAGTTAGTAATTCCATGATATTAATAAATATTACTAGGTATACTGGCAGATTATTTCACTTTTCCCATGATGTAAGTGAAATAATATGCCAGTAGAACAAGTTTTTTTTTTTGTTTTTTTTTAATCTTAAGGAATTATTTTCTGAAAAGAAGCTCCTATATCTTTCTGAAAGGTTACTTGTTAGTTTTGCCTTATTTCAAGTGTATTAAGGTATTTACACTAGAAACTGCTACACCAAAAGTTCCTGGTAGGATTTCTCTGTGTCTGGTTTGCTGGCTCCTGCTCAGCTGCTCCACCTGTTGGTGCCCCGATGTATAAACACCAGCAGGCATCAGCTGCACACATGGGAGCACATCCACAAATATTTAAATGTGTTCTCTTCCACAAACTGAATGCAAATCTGCACACACACACACACACACACACACACACACACAGCCTGATAGTTCAGTAGCAGCTCCTCTATTTACAGCGCCAACAAACTCCTCGGTTTACTCAGCTTGTGTTTGTGGGTTTGAGTGTTTGTTGATGCTACACAGATATTTATTTATTAAGTGTATCTTGTTTTGTAGGGTCTCCCAGGTCCTCAAGGTCCGATCGGACCACCTGGAGAAAAAGTAGGTTTTCTTTTCTCATTCAAATCGATTTAGCTGTAAGTTTTCTTGCGTTGTTGCAGTTTACTGCACCGGTTTTCTTCGTCTTCTTTTTTAAAATCCTGTTCGTCTCTTCCTCCTACAGGGACCTCAGGGCAGGTCGGGACTTCCTGGATTGCCTGGAGCTGACGGGCCTCCTGTGAGTGCTCACCTAATACGTATATTGTTACTGCACACATACGCATCACTTCTTTAAGATGGCGTCTTCCTCCACTGTATAGGTCCATCACAGTAAATTAGAATGTCAACAAAACGTTAATTTAGTTCAAAATTTGAATCTCTGTTTAATTTCGATGGGTATTGCTTACATCTTGTGAAATCCTGGCTAAAATATCATAAAATACAAATCAAATTTAATTAAAATAAAAATGTTTTTGTCACCGAATGGACTTAACAATCATGGGAAGGACTGGTTCACTGATGGAAAATTGAGTGGAAGAAAAAAGTTTTTCAAGATGCATTTGTAGCTGCTGTGTTGAGAAACATCCTTGTTATCAAACAAGTTAGAATCATGTGTAAAATAATAGTAATACAAAAAAATTAGAGGAAACTATTTAAAAAAATCATTAAAATCCATTTTTAATACAGAAAAAAGGAACACACGTGGAAAATTTAGAGATAAAGCTTTTTTCCTGCTTCTTTTTTAAAAATGATGCTGCAGTTCAGAAAATTAAGCAGGATTTTAGGTTTGTCACTTTTTTTTTTAGCTTTATATCTTAATATTTCTTTGGACCAGTGTGGCTGTTGATATTTTTAACCTTATTTAAGAAGAAGCAATTAATGGCTCCATTTGATACTTCCCATCATATTATGAAAAAAAGATTTCTAGAAATCCACATTTTTGTTCTATTGTCAATTAATCGATTCAGTCTGAAAATCCTGCATCTGTTGTAGTTCGACATTTTACAGTTTGCAGCATAAAGTTTATGCAGACTGGATTAAACTGGAACAAAGTTTTAATGCTGTTAAATGAATGGATTAGCACAAATTAGCTGAAAAAGCTGAAATAAAGTAGAACATTTTCTAAATCTGCTAAAGTAGTTTAAATCTGCACAGAGGTAAACATTCAAACTGCTGTTGGATTGCAAATTTGTTTTGTCTGCAGCAATGCTACTGGAAGAAATAGCTGGAAAATGAGCAAAAGAGCCTGATGTCCTGTAACCCATTACTGTTTTTGTTCTAGCTCAAAGTAAGTGGAAATAGTTGACCTTTAAAGAACGCTAGACATAATTTTAAAGCTTCCTCCGTTCATTTCTGTAGAAAAAAAGTCAAGTAAAGTTTTTAAATGACAGAAATCACGGCAGACACTTGCTACAAAGCAAGCGAGTGACGCTGGATGTCATATTTATTCAGTTTGGACTGTAAAGAAAACATCATCCTTGCTATTCAATGAAGAAATACACAGACAGAATATACATCTTCTTCTTTGGTTCACAACAAACGGCAAACCTTTTGGCCCGTGCCTCTGAAACCTCTCAAGGTGTTTTTCACAAAGCGCCTGTGGGCTTTGTTATCCAGACCTGTTGTTGCACCGAGTCGTCGGCCGAAGAGGCAAACACCCTCAGCTGCCCTCGGGGCCAGAGAGCTCCCTGACTTACAGCTCTCCGCCTCCACGTCACACCGCGAATAACAAGTTGCCGGTGGTTCCTCACAGCTGAAGCTTTTCCTGGTGTAGCAGGAAGCTTCATCACACCAGCTAGTTACCCACTAAAAATTAGTCACTTATTGCTATTAAAAGTAGCGATTTAAGCGTCACTGAGCCACAGTTGCGCTTGGGAAAAATGACCCCTCACACACACGTTCAAACGTCCTGTTCATAAAACCGAAGCTTGAAAAGGACAAAAAAGAAAAAAGTGATGTTTTATTCATGCATTCTGCAGTATTTGGCCTTGATCTGGCCCATGGAACCACGTTTTGCTTTGCCGGCCATCTGCAGCAGATATTCAGTGCAGCTCAAAGACTTCCTGCTGGTGGCAATACCAGCTCATGTGTGTCTCAGATAGTTCTGAGGAGCTGCTGCATAAGAAGTTTGGTCACAAGTCACTGTGTTCAGCGCTTTACTGAATAACATTATTAAAGTGAGTCTTTTCTGACTGGTCTGACTTTTTTACAGGGTCATCCTGGCAAGGAGGGTCCACCTGGGGAGAAAGGTTCTCAGGTAATGTTTACAAATTAAATTTGTCAAATGGGAGATCGGTTTCCAATCTGTTAGCAAATTACAAACATCAGCGTCACGCAGTAGAGTCTCATTCTATTGACTTTCTAACATCAAAGATATTGATCTGACCACCTGTGGATTGAAAGACAACCCACAGGTTGTGTTTCAATCCAGGCAGTGTTGTTCTTTGAATATAATACAATCATCCTTAACACTATTAATATCTGCCTGATAGGGTATTGAACCCTGACTTGGTAAGGCATGAACTCCACTGAACCCTTCCAGTGCTAACCCAGAAATGTTAGCTAAGATTTCTTTCAATCCCATAATCTGTGAGGTGGGGCCTCCGTGAGTTGGACTTGCTTTCTTTCACGTCCCAGAGACGCTCTAGTAGATTGAAATCTGATGTATTTGAAGGCCAAGTCATTTCCTCAACTCATCGTCATTCTCCTCAAACTATTCTTGAAAGATTTTTGCTTCCTGACGGGATGGATTAGTCTGCCGAAAAAGCCAAGAGTCATGAGGAAGCATAGTTAAGGGTCAAGGCAACGTCAACATGGATTGCTAAGGGTTACCAGCACAACATTGCCCAAAGCTACTGTCTCCCGTCAGTGCCATGTGTTCCTGTGTGATGTAAAAGACAACTTCATTCACCATACCAGGCAAACTCCTTCTATTGATTAGTGGTACAGTTCTGATTCTCATGAGCCTATTATATACGACAACTTCAGAGGCGGACCGGGGTCAACAAATGCACCCCGACTCTGCAGTCTGGAAGGAAGCAGACCACACTGTGTATCCTCATCTGTTGAATCCGACTACATGGACATGCCTTCGCTTCCCACATTCGTCAACGAACCATGGCCGCTGTTGCCGGTTTGCCACTGTTCCTACCTTGGACCCCTTCTTGCTAGATACTAACTACTGGAGGACGGGAACACCCAAAAATGTTCAAAGTCGGTCAAACTTGCTCAAACCCGTAAAATGTCCCATTTGTCCTGCGTCCAACTCATCAACTATGACGATAAGACGTTCACTTCCTGTCTCTTATATGTCATACGACAACCAGGGCCCCAATGGAGAAATGATAAATATTAACTTCTTCCTCTGTCAGTCGACATAATGACATAATGATGTGCCTGATTGAGGGACGACTTCAGTTATTTAATAGTAGATGTTGTAAAAAAGTTTTCACTTTCTAGTAAGTAAGTGGATCAGTACTTTTGATTTTCTAATATGGCTTTGAAAGTTTCATGAATTTTTTTTCTTGATTTCACAATCATTGATAAATTAGAGTATGTAATATTGTAGTCTATTGAGACTCTTGTGTAGCTTTGATGTAAATATGGGTTAAAAAATTGTTTCTAAAAGCTGTTTCCTAATTTACCTTTTTGGACTTTTTACATTAAAATGTATAGCATTCTATACTTGCATGTTAGTAGGTAAGAAAATAATTAGCTCTTAGCATTATTGTGTAAATGTAATGATCTCTTGAAACTTAGTTATTTTAAAAAGCAATACTAGAGTTTTGGTTTATGACACATTGAGCTATCACTAAAATATGATGTTGCTGTAGGGTCCACTGGGTCCTCAGGGTCCTCTCGGTTATCCTGGCCCCCGGGGTGTGAAGGTAGGATTGTTTTAGTGAATGGTTTTCATTAGAAATTCGTCATTTTGGTTTTGTGCTGGGTTTTAATTCTCCCCGTTTGGTTCCTGACCAACAGGGGGCCGACGGAGTTCGTGGGCTGAAGGGATCAAAAGGAGAGAAGGTAAAGAGCCAGTTTGGTCTCCTGGGTCAGAGTGCAGACTTTCATATACAGGGCTCCAACGCAAAACCTAAACAAACATATGGAATTAGATTTCAGAATCTGCCAGATAAGTAAAGAAGAAAAAAACACGAGTATAAAAAATATTTTTACTTCCTTCCTTTCTCCATTCCTTCCACTCTTTCTTCCTTCCTTACTTCCTTACTTCCTTTGTTCCTTGCTGCTTTTTTGTCTTCCTTTCCTCCTTCCTTCTTTTAATTCTTGCTCGCTGTTCTTTTTCCTTCCTTTGTTTGTTCCTCCCTTCTTTCTGCACCTTTTTTCTTCCTTCCTCCTTCCCTTCTTTGCCTCCATATTTTCTTCCTTTGTTCCATCCTTCATTCTGTCTGTCCATGAGTTTTTTCATTCCTCTCTTTTCTTAGTCACCACTTTCCTTTCATATTCCTCTTTTTCATTGTGTCCTTCCTTCTGTTTTACCTCATGTCTTTTCCTTCTGCCTGTTTTTCCCTCATTCATTAATTTCTTCAGTCTCTCCCTCCTTCCTGTCTATAGTTTTCATATATACACTGACTGAAAACTGAAAAAGTGCATCTGGAAAAATCTGGATTTTCTTTTTCTTTTTACATAAAAATAAAAATTCCCTTCTCACCCTCTGCGGGTGGTCTCTTTCTTTTCTTGCAATGAAGGCTCTTAGAGTCCTATTGCTGTTGTACATCTCTAAGCATTCAATGATCCAAGTGTGTCGGGTTCTGCAGTCTCGGGTGACTGTGTGGTCTACAAGGAGTTGGTGTTTGGCTCCTCTGCTGTTTATGCCGATGCCCTTCTGTGCCGTGCTCATGTATTTATCCATGTGCCCGCTTATCTTAGCCGCTATGATGCCTGACATGAGCTTCCATGTTGTAGAGAGACAGGTTATTGGCCGATAGTTGGATGGGACTGAACCCTTTGAGGGATCCTAGGATTGTGCGCCCTTCAGTTAACCATTCAGGGTGAGTCCCATTTTGTAGCAGCTGGCTCATTTGGGCTGCCAGTCGCTCATGGAGGGCAGTGAGTTTCTTCAGCCAGTAGACATGGATCATGTCAGGTCCTGGTGCTGTCCAGTTTTCATACCTGTCCAGTTTTTCAGTCTCCATGCAACGGACAGCGAGGGGTGACAGTGAAAACAGCAGAGGAGGTGTAAAAAGTTTGAGAGCAGGCTGTGAATGCATTCATGTCACAGACGTTCTGTCTGAAGCTGCTGCCGTCTACCTGTCGACTTTGTTTTGACTCCCCTGAGCTGAAGTGGATGCTCGGCGCAGGCCGAACACAACGCGGCGGTCAGTCGATAGGCGTCGTCAGAGGGGGGGCCGAGCCTCGCTTTGAAGTGACTCTCAGTCACTCACGGCTGGATGTGAAGCCGTCCTGCTGAAAAGCTTCTGCTGACAGAGAAACTCGACCGTCAGTGCCACTCCGGTCACCAGACGCCACAATCTGTGCCGGAGTTTAAACCAACTTCATTATTCAGGATCAGTACAGTTATGCAGCAGTATATATATATGAAACAAAAATCTATTGTCTGACTCGAAGGACTTGTTCCCACTGCAGTGGCAGGCATTTGTCTGATTTTTGGTTTGAATTTTTAAAGAGGGGGGGGGGGGGGGAGAAAACAGACCTTGACGAGAAAAATTTATGAATAAACGATGCGCATTACTTGAAGTATGTATCCAGTCAGGATGCAGGGTGGTGGCAAAAACATGTTCGGCTCTGCATTATGCATCAGGTCCTGCTGGAACACAAGAGGTCAAAGAAGGAAGAAAGAAAAGGTGTCAAAGAGACGAGCTTTCCCTTTAATATTCACACGTCACCTATATCATGATAGGCAGACAGACAGAACTTGATGTTAACAGTATTTGGTATTAAGTATATGAGAAAAAGGAACAGTAAATGGATTTTTTTGGATGTGCTATTCCACTATCTGGCCACCAGATGGCAGCTCTAGTCCTCCGTTGCCCATTAGGAATTGGGAAATGTAGGGAAGTGTTAGCTAGCTCAGACCTTTTCGGTGTTTATAAACTCTTTTTTTTATTCGTCAGTATTTTAAAGAAATGACCAAATATTTGTTTCTCTTAGGGCGAGGACGGTTTCCCAGGTTTTAAAGGAGACATGGGAATCAAAGGTGACCGGGTGAGGAGCTTGAATAAAACATCTTTTTTTCCCCACCACACATCAAAAACAGAATCCTACCAAGTGGATTGGTCCACTTTCTAGTGCAAATGTCTTGGTACACTTGAGATAAGACTAAACTAACTTGCTTGTAACTTTTCAGCAAGACAAAGGAGCTTTTTTTTCAGTCAATGATTCCTTAATATTGATGAAAAAGTACTAGTTCCACTGGAAGATTATTTCACTTGTAATATGGGGGAAATATCTTGTTATAAGTTAAATAAAATCTCGGTGGAGCTAGTATTTTATTTTTATTTATTTATTTTTTACCAATATTAAGGATTTTTTTAAACTTACAACCATTTATATATTCCTGAAAAGTTACTTATAAGTTAGTTTTGAAAAAAAAAAAATAGTACAAAGATTTGCACTAAAGATAGAGGATAAATACTTGGTAAGATTCTGTGTTTTTACTGTGAACTTCATAGGTCAAACATTCACTCTCCTCTGTACACTGAAACACTAATTTGAACATTTTATATATATAATTTTTCATGGATGGCAGGGTGAAATTGGCATGCCTGGGTCCCGTGGAGAGGACGGTCCTGAGGGACCTAAAGGCAGAGCTGGCCCCAACGGAGAGTCGGGGCCTCTCGGTCCAGCAGGAGAGAAAGTAAAGAAAACTCTTATCTTTCTGGCTTTAGCTAAGTTGGACTTTTGCTCTTGCTCACCTTGTCGATGTGTCCCAGGGTAAACTTGGTGTCCCAGGATTGCCAGGTTATCCCGGACGACAGGGACCAAAGGTAAATATGAGCTACTTTCAACATGAGAAGCATCATACCTGATAAAACATCACAGTGCCTCCTAGCAGCCATTGTGCAGACTATCTTTAATCTTGTTCATATAGAGTTATATTTTTACACCTAGGAATGCATTTCAAGGTGAGACATTTCAGCAGTTTATGTGAAATGCTGAACAATGCTGTAAGTAGGAGAGAATTACCTGATTCAATAAACGACCTTGTCTGAGAGTAAAAATATATATTTTCTATAAAAATGACTGATTATTAGACAGGGGATTACAAACAAGCACTTGCTAAATGGCGAGTTCTTAACATTTAGTGTAAAGGAAAGTTTTGATTGGTTTGACTTTAATAACATAACCTTCAAAGATACATTAGTAAATGACACTTATAAATAGGCTTTTCTGCACAAGGTATGAATAAAAGAGCTTTGTGTTTTATAGTTTTTTCTTGCTCAGTGTTTGGACAAGAAATACAACATTCACAAATTTATGGCTAATTTCTGATATCTTATTTTTGAGCTTTTATGTAGTCTTAAACTGTTTTCAGCACCTCAGCTATCATTAGCAGTTAGCACATTTAGCACAGTTAGCATTGGTCTCCTGTAGTGAAATTCCTGTAGAATGTAAATAGTTACCTTCCATCTCAGATCTCCAAAAAGGTTAGCAACATTTTCTAATCCAGCATGTTTCATAGGCAAATGAAGTAGAAAACTGAGGAAGATTAAAAAAAGCCTTTGCTAAGCTCCACCCAGTTTTCCTGTTATCAGCCTAAGTTTGGCTCTCTCTCAGGCTGAAAAAAACCGCTGCCGTATAGTAATGTTGCGTTTTCTCGTAAATGGCTTCCTACATCTCTGCGCTTCCTCTGACTTCATTTCCAAAGACGTCGTTGATACTGGGAAGAGCCACCTTTGAGTCTTGTTCAGTCCTCATTGAGGAGTGTTGTTGTCAGCTGGACTGTAGCAGCATGGTGTGTTCACTGAGCTGGAAAAGACCCAGAAAAATAAATCGTCTGAATCCACATAATGTTGTCCTGTTTTAGGAGGATGTTCTCCTTAAGATTAAACATTGCGACTAAGACATATCCTCCTCTATAGCTTTTAATACAATGCATTAACTTTAACAAATTAGAGGGAAAAAAAGCATTTTTCTCACGAACGTTGCAAGTTTTACATTTGCCGCTTTAAGAGTCTGACACAGGGAAGCTCAGCGCCAACAGTGGAACACTGAGAAAGATATCTATCATCTCAGCAGATGAATACAACATAATCCCTTATTGTCATGTATGCGGTGACCCATGAAGCCTCATCTGCCTTCGTGATATCTCCCTCTGATTTTTGACAGGGCTCGAGTGGATTCCCTGGCTTCCCTGGAGCCAACGGCGAGAAAGGAGCACGGGTAAGGGGGAAACACACACCTGTAACGCCGGAGACATAAAAAACTCACTTACCGTGCGTAGCATAAAATTTGTTCCACCATAAAGGCATTTTCGTCAAATAAAGCTACAGCAAACGCCACGTTGGGCGAGAGAACGACTGATTTGGAAACGGTTATGGAGCCCCGAGGCTGAGCTTGTTCTCACGACTTTGGGTTTTATTTCAGATCAAATTTAGGAGACAGGTTTTAATTTGATCTTTTAAGAGAGCACCAAACTCTTTGATGCCACTTTTGAGTTGTAACCCAGGTTTTAAGGCAGTGGTCCCCAAACTTTTTCCTGTGAGGGCCACATAACTTTTCCCTTCTCTGGTGGGGGGCCGGACATTGTTGAGG